CCTCTCTCTGCTTCGTGCCATCGTTGCCGCTGACTCGTGCACCGCCGTCGACCTCGTTGTCGATGCCACCTTCGTTTCGTACCGGTCGTGGAGATGCAGGACGGGAAGGGTGCTCCTTCGCCCACTGCGCCCAGATGCCAAGCTCGACGATCGCCCGGAGGATCGTCCCGTACTTGCCGTCCTCAGTGCGTTTCCGCGCGTCAGCCTAGCGTGCCTCCAAGGTGTCCGCCACTCCCGCATTAGCTACGGGTTCGACCATGACGACTAACGCTGCTTGTGAGAGGACGTCCCCGTTATAATATTTCTCATTATTATATTTTTCCTTTATCTTATTCTCCTTTTTCTCCTCTTTATTTTGGTCTTTATCTCATCTCAATCGGCCTACTATTCTATTTTCTAGAGCCTTCTATTTATTTCTCTTATTTCCTACTTTTCCCACCGACATATCTATTATACGGCACCGACAGCGCCGACAGTGGTGTATACGGTGTAATCTGGGCGTAATCCCAAGTGCCAATAGCCTTGCGTGCTTGTGCGCACTTGTGATTGTAGTATCGGGAAGGGCGTGTTCCCGAAGGTTCGTTTTATCACGTTTATCCTTGTATTTTCCGAGTATAAAAACGCCTTGTATTCAGTTTTAGTGACAAGTTTCGATTGAGAATTCGATCCTGTGACACTGCTGCCGGCCTACGAACGACTTAGTAGGTGCAAAAGTCGGCTCCTAGCTGAAGGTAATTTGCGGGGCCATCCCCCGCTCATCGCACCATGTGGAGAGTCACTCGACAAAGTAGTGAGCTAGACTACGGGGGGGGGGGGGGGGGGGGAGGGGAGGGGGGGGGGGTTGGCACGAACTACTATGAGTGATTGTAGCTTTTCTTAGTTCCTTAGCGCTTGCACGCTCACGGAAGAAATCGGCAAGAGTTTCTCTAGGCAAAGATTGCATTTATTGAACTAGCAATGATAGGAATGACTACATCAGGCACCTAGCAACCCTGCAGCTAGCCTGGTCGACCACCAGCACAACTTGTTCGACCGCTTGCCAGCGTTGCGTATAGGAGCCGCGCCAGCACTGCAGAAGGGCGACCTGCCAGCGTAGCAGGTTGACGCTGTGCCAACGCTGCAACAGAGCGACTGTCTAGCGTTGCCACGTAGAAGACAGTAGTGCGCACGCTCAGAGGTGCGCGCAGACAATTGGCCTGACTCGCCTCGTTGTGCATCCGTCGGCTGTTGTCTGCGCCTGACGAGCCACATCGACTTCGCGATACCAGCCCAAAGTTGCCTTCGCCATCGCGACCTCGACAACGTTCGCGTGCCTCCGCAGAACTCGTCGAGCAGGTTACCCGGTCGACATGGACACCACTAGGTCAGTGTCGACTTGTTCAAGGAAAGTCAACCAGAAGTTGTATGTGCTCGTCGACCACCCCGTGCTCTGGTCGACGACTCCCTTATCGACCACAGCTCCCGTCGAGCAATTCCGGCGACCAGCACTGCAGCTGTTGTCGCCGAGCTCCCCTCGTCGACCGCTACTCACTTGTCAGGTTGACGAGCTGCTCCGTCGACCTCCCCGTGGAATTGCTCCTCCTCGTCAACAGTCCACCCGTCGACCAGCCCAGCCAGCTTCTACCGTCGAGCACCCCTGATCGACGGCAACACCACAGTCATCCCTGCAGCTCGACAAAGCCCATCGAGCAGCTCCCTCACTGTGAGTGGTCGGCTGCGTCTCCCGTACATCCGACCAAGTCGTCGGCGTTGCCCAAGCGAGGGCGGGGCCAACACTCTATTCCCGTTAACAACGCTCGGCAATCCCATTCTGCTCCAGAGAGGCCGGAAGCGTGTACGACTGAACGATGCCCTCAGCACCTCAGAAGACCTCGAGGAGGCGGGAGAAAAACTCACCACCTCGGTCAGAGTGCAGCCGCAGGACTGAAAGGTCCTTACGGAACCGAGCGCGAAGCTGGAGACGGACAGCGCGGATCCAGCGGATCAAGACACCGCGGACGTCAGCCTTGCTCTGCAAGGGGAAGGTGTAGCGCGTGTAGTTGTCGACAACCAGCAGAAAGTAGCGCTCGCCACCCTGTCCAGTGACTGGGGCGGGGCCCCACACGTCCATATGCAGGGTCTACAAAGGAGCAGTGGTAGGAGGAAACGAGGAAGAGTGAGGAGCAGCGCGCTGCCGCCACTTGACGCAGGGAAGGCAGGGCGGTGCAAGCGACCTCGGAAGCGGGGGAAGGGACCTGGGGAGACCAGACACAAGGAGACGGGAGTGCATGCCATGCAGGCGTGGCAAGGAGGGGTGGCCAAGACGGTGGTGCCAGAGGAGAGTCTGGTGTGTGAGGAGACGACACAAACAAGATGCAGCGACCTCAACCGACGCAGCTACCTGACCCGACTCAGCAACCAGTGCAGACTCAGTGATCAGTGTGTACAGGCCAGACCCAGGTCTCTGAGTGAATGTGGCGAGGTGCTCACCAGTGCGTGAGTCCGTACAGATCGCCACGAGCTCGCCTCCAGGCTGGGTGACAGTGACCCACTGGTCCTGGAGGACAGAGGTAGCCACCAAGTTCTTAGCAAACGAGGGGAGGTGGAGACCTGTGAGCAGGCCAGAAGGGGCCGCCGGACAGGGGAGAACAGTAGCACCACGCGCGACTACTGGGCTCCCGGAGGGGTCGGCCAGTGTGACAGGGATAGGGGCTGTGAGCGGTGTGACTGTGGTGCTGTCGCGGAAGCAGCAGTGAGACGCGCCTGAGTCTAGGGTAAAAGTGTGCAAGGCCTCCTCAGGCTCTGCCCCTGCACTAGCTGAGTCACACGCACCGAGAATAGTAGCCTCTACGCCACCAGGTGCCTCTACACCCCCTATACGTGTACCTCGAAACCCTCCGCCATCAGGGCTGCCCCACCGGACAGCCCACTCACGAAGCTGCTGCAGGGAGAGAGTCTCCAGCAGACGCTGCTGCTGCTGCTGTTCACCCCCAGAACCTCCGCGTCTACTAGCGGCACTACCAGCAGGAGTAGACTCACATGTACCTCCAGTAGTAGCACCCCACCGGTTAGCCCACTCACGACGCTGCTGTGGCAAAAGCTGCTTCCGCCGATGAGCACGGTTAGCTCCGCCACCGGGGCTGCTCCACCAGATAGCCCACTCACAAAGCTGCTGCAGCGAGAGAGACTCCTGCACACTTGGCTGCCGCTGACGTAGGACAGTGGTCGTGGCCATGGCAGTCAGTGGCAGCTTGTAGCAGCAGCGAAGGAGCAGCTAGGGAAGAGGCGAGTAACTGGGTGCTCTAGTGCAGGTCGCTCGTGGGGCAGGGCTGGCGGTGTTTGTAGTGCAGCGGTTAGGAGATGTGCACGGGCAGGGCAGGATAGGTGCGCGCGGGTAGCTAGCAGGGTAGCGGTGCGCGCGCTGGCGTTGGGCAGCAGGGTGCGCACAGGAGCTGGGCAGCGGGCAGCTGCAGCGGCAGCGGCGGCCGGCAGCAGCAGCGGCAGTGGGTGGCAGCAGTGGCGGCAGCAGCAGACAGCCGCTGCGGCTTGGCAGTGCTGGGCAGCGTGCAGAGCAGTGCTAGCGGCAGCTAGGCAGGGCAGGGCAGCGCTGGGAAGTGTGCAGGGCAGCACTGGCGGCGGCCAGGCAGGGCAGGGCAGCGCTGAGCAGCGGGCAAGGCAGTGTTGGCGGCGGCCAGGCAGGGCAGGGCAGCGCTGGGCAGCGGGCAAGGCAGTGTTGGCGACGGCCAGGCAGGGCATGGCAGCACTGGGCAGCGGGCAAGGCAGTGTTGGCGGCGGCCAGGCAGGGCAGGGCAGCGCTGGGCAGCGGGAAAGGCAGTGTTGGCGGCGGCCAGGCAGGACAGGGCAGCGAAGGCAGCATGTGCAGGCAGTGATGGTGGCCGGCAGCAGCAGCAGCAGTGGCTGGCAGCAGTGGCAGCAGCAGGAGGCAACAGCTACGGCTTGGCAGGACAGCATCGCAAGGCAGTGCACCGTGCAGGGCAGCGCGCTCAGCAGTTGGCAGTGTGTAGTGGTAGGGGCGCTAGCTGGCGGCACAGGTAGCGCAGCAGGGCAGTGAGCGGGCAGCGCAGGGCAATGTGCGGGCGGCTTAGGCAGGACACACGTAGGCAGGGCAGGGCAGCGCGAACAATGCAGCTCGCAGGGCAGGTGACTGCGGGCCAGGAGCGAGCAGGCAGCGCGGGCGGCTAGCAGGCAGCGTGCGGGCCAGGACAGGTGCGCGCAGGGCTGTACGGGCTACGCGCGGGCCTGGCGTGGGCTGTACGGGCTGCGCGCGAGCCTGGCACGGGCTGTACGGGCTGCGCGAGGGCCTGGCGCGGGCTGTACGGGCTGCGCAAGTGCTTGGCGCGGGCTGTATGGGCTGCGCGCGGGCCTTGCGTGGGCTGTACGGGCTGTGCGCGGCCGGCACGGAGGCTGTACGGGCTGTTCGCGGGCGGCACGCGGGCTGTATGGGCTGCGCGCGGCAGGGCAGGGCAGGTCAGCGCGAAAGCGCTAGGCAGGGCAGAAACTAATGGCCGGGCAGGGGAAAATTGTCTGCCGGGCAGAGGGAAACGAATATGGTGGGCCCTAAAAATAAGAACTAGGTCCTAACTGGGACATGCTCTGATACCATGTTAAGATTAAGAAATGATGAAGGGAGGGGTACAAGAAGGATGTCAAGAATATTAGTTTGCCCACTACGACTAAACCCACTACAGCCTAATGAATCATACAAATATATGTTTTGACAAAGGCCTTTTCGCCAAACAACCTAGTAGTGCAGCACGATGAGTTGCCGCTTGTCAGAGGCGGAAAACAAAGATGTGCGCCAGATAAAGTGTCACAACAAATTTTCACAACCAATCTGGTTTGAGTAGGAGAGAATGTGTTCGCACAATGCAACTAGAACAACAAAAATTACATTGCGAGACACCAACAACTCCCGAACGAGTGAGGAGAAGAAAACACCCCAATCATCGAAGTAAGTTAACTACTCCACGATTGACGTCTGAGAACAAGCGCATGTGCCCTTACGTCCCCTCCTTTCTCCCCTTGCTTCCCCTCCTTTCCCTTCTTGCTTCCCCTCCTTTCCCCCCTTGATTTCCCTCCTTTCCTCCCTTGCTTCTCCCCCTTTCTCCCCCTGATTCCCCTTCTTTCCTCCCTTGCTTCCCCTCCTTTCCCCTCTTGCTTTCCCCTCCTTTCCCCTCTTGCTTCCCCTCCTTTCTCCCCCTGATTCCCCTCCTTTCCCCCCTTGCTTCCCCTCCTTTCCCTCCTTGCTTCCCCTCCTCACCCCCCTTGCTTCGGCTCCTTCCTCCCTCCCCTACGTCCCCTCCTTCCGCTCCCCTCCTCCCCCCCCCCCCTTCTTCCCCTCCTTTCCCCACCTGCTTCCCCTCCTTTCCCCACCTGCTTCCCCTCCTTTCCCCCCTTGCTTCCCCTCCTTTCCCCTCTTGCTTCCCCTCCTTTCTCCCCCTGATTCCCCTCCTTTCCCCCCTTGCTTCCCCTCATTTCCCCCCTTGCTTCCCCTCCTCACCCCCCTTGCTTCGGCTCCTTCCTCCCTCCCCTGCGTCCCCTCCTTCAGCTCCCCTCCTTCCCCCCCCCTTCTTCCCCTCCTTCCCCACCTGCTTCCCCTCCTTTCCCCACCTGCTTCCCCTCCTATTCCCCCATGCTTCCCCTCCTTTCCCCCCCTGCTTCCCTTGCTTTCCCCCCCTGATTCCCCTCCTTTCCCCCCCTGCTTCCTGTAATAAATAACGGGCAAGAATGGTTGACTAGTGAGCAAGCATGAATATAAGTACTAGGGTTGACCTAAAGTGTTGTACCCCTTAGTCGTGTCCCACCTCGCGTCAAGAGTACTGTACAGGTCATCCATCAAACACGTATCATCCAAACATTCTCGCATACCACTTGTGGTCAGAAGTGGTGTTTGCGACACTAGGGATTGGGAAACCCCAGCTACACTCAAATTGACCGGCGACCTGCGCGTCGCAGCCAATGGCGAGAGTCTAAAAAAATTCGCCACGTCGCACCCACCCGACCCCGCCACACCAACCCACGTCGGCCGAACGTCAAATCTACTGGCGGGAAGCAGGAAAATGTCCCACTCCCGCCCAGGGTTTCAGACCCTGATGGGAAGAACGTTGGGAATGTCCAACACCAGCACATGCAGAAGAAAGGCACTAGAAGCAGCACAGGAAAAACATGACCGCTATCTCAGCTTCTAGATCTACTTTCTCCCATGTGTACTCGCCGATGCACTGCAACCCGGCCTTCTAAAAGGCCACCGCGTAAGAGTGGTAGGGGGAAAGGCAAGGCAAAGCTCGCCAAAAAGGGTCAGTGGACCGACCCTCCCTACGTGCAGTGGATGAAAGCACAGCAGGCCGAGGGTAAGGAGGGTGCCTCAATAAAAAACGTGGCAGCCTGATCGTGCGACAAGGGCGGGCCCAGTACCAGCCGCGGCGCACGTCAGGACAGTGCAGAGTCCGGAGGCGACACGGATCTCAGCGATGAGGAGCTCGAGGAAATCCAGTCTGACTCTGAAAGCGAGGACGACTTCGACAATTGGAAGGGAGAACCGAACGACGATAGCAACGAGTCGGACGCCGAAGCTGACGCCGGCGCCGTCGATGCCAGCGCACATTGCTCCAAGAGTGATGGCGGCCGCAACTCCAGCCATTACAAGCGGAAATGGTGTCAAACATATATGATATAGCCTGTGTAGGCTGTAGTGGGGAAGACATTATGGGGTACAGCTTTTCTAGGTTTTCCTACTTGTACCCATCTCCTTTCTAGTCCACACTCATTCCTCGTACTATTCTCACATGGTATAGAGCGGGTTCCCTAGTGGGACCGTTTTTTTTAGGGCCCACCACTTTTTTTTTCCTGCCCTGCCCGAAGCGCGCTCCTGCCCCTGTCGCGCGCCTCGCGCCTGCCTCACCTACGCCCCGTGCGCCTACCCTGCCATCGCGGCCCCTGCTGTCGCGGCCCTATTTGAAGCCGTCGCGGCCCTGCTCTGCCGTCGCGGCCTTGCCGCCCTGCCGTCGCGGCCCTCCCTGCAGCCGTCGCGGCCCTACCCTGCTGTCGCGGCCATGCCGCCCTGCAATCGCGGCCCTGCCGCCCTGCCGTCGCGGCCCTCCCTGACGCCGTCGCGGCCCCACCCTGCCGCCCTGCCCTCGCGGCCCCCACCGTGTCGCCCTGCCGTCGCGGCCCTCCCTGAAGCCGTCACGGCCCTGCCGCCCTGCTGTCGCGGCCCTGCCTGAAGCCGTCGCGGCCCTGCCCGTCGCTGCCGCGGCCCGTCCTACGGCCGCCGTCGCGGCCCTGCCTACCGCCGCAGGTACGGCCCTGCCTACAACCGCTGTTGCGGCCCTGCCTCGTCGCGGCCCTGCCTGACGCGGCCCTGACCTGCCGGCGCGCCATGGCCCTGCCCTTCCAGTTGCAGCCCTACCCCGATCCCGCCCTGGTAAGTGCACCGCCGCACCCGCGCCGCCCTGCCGAGCCGCGCAGCCTTACCGAGCCGCGCCGCCCTACCGAGCAACGCCACCCTACCGAGTCGCACTGCTCTTGCTGCTGCTGCTGCTGCTGCTGCTGCTGCTGCTGCTGCTGCTACTTCTACTGCTGTCATGGCTACCCCTAATATACTTACCTTCGATGCTGAGGGTCGGGCAGTTGATTTCGAGGTCTGGGTCGATGATCTGCACCTGTTTCTGCAGTGCGATTCTAGGGACGGAGTCTCACTGTTCGATCTCACGTCCGGCGTCTCTGTTGCACCTGCTGCCGATGCTGATAGTACTGTTCGCTCGCAGTGGACCACGCGCGATGCCCGTCTTGCTGTTCGTAGTCACCTGCCGTCTGCTGAGCGCGCGCACTTTAGCCAGTACAAGACCGCTAGGACTCTGTATGATGCTGTTGTTGCGCGCTACTCCTCCCCTGCCACTGCTGCCCTTAGCCGCCTCATGCTGCCGTACCTATTCCCTGACCTAGCTGCTTTTTCCACAGTCGCTGACCTCATTACGCACCTCCGCACTAGTGACACCCGCTACCACGCTGCGGTTCCTGCCGAGTTCAGCGCCAAGACCCCCCCCCCCCCTATGTTTATCACTCTCTACTACCTCGTCACCCGGCTCCCTGACTCCCTTCGCTCGGTCAGGGACCACTTCCTCTCCCTTTGCCCCACCACGCTCACCGTTGACCTCCTCGAGGAGCACCTCCATGCAGCTGAGAAGAGTATAGTGTCAAACTATATTTATATAGTTTCTATATGTTAGTCTAGGTGTTGTACAATTTGTTACACTTGTGCTAGGACACTTGCTAGGGTTTCCTATATCTTGTTTGTTCATCCTTTTCTTTAGTCAAATTCTCACGCTAGTTAGTTCTTGACATGGTATAGAGCTAAGCGATCCGATGGGCCCACCGCCCCGTGACCCGACCTAGCCCGAAGCGCCCTAAGGCCCGAAGCGCCCCGGTAGCATCGTAGCCCGTGCGTCACCCGTTTTCTGCCCGTCGCGTCACCCGTTTAGGCCCTCGCGTCACCCGTTTCTGCCCCGCGCGTCACCCGTTTGTGCCCCGCTCGACTTGCCCGCCAGCCCGCTAGCGCGCGTCAGACCCGCGCGCGCAGCCCTAGACGCACGCGCACCCACGCGCACGTAAGTCGCGACCTATCGCGAGTAGGGGAGGAGCCCGCTACCCGCGCTCGTCGCCTCACACGTCGCCCATTCGGGCTGAAACCGTCGCCTTACCTGGAACCCGTCGAAACCCACCTCCCCACTGGTTAGAAATTGTTTCCACCGGTCAGAAATCGTCACCACCCGCCGCCCCACGCGTTAGCACCCTCCTCACGCCCTGAAACCGCCGCGCCACCAGTTTGCACCCTCCCCACGCCCTGAAACCCGCCCCCCACCGGTTAGAAATCGCCCTTACTCGTCGCCCGCCACCTTACCCGCCACCCCAACCGTTAGCACCCTCCCCATGCCCTGAAACCGCCGCCCCACCAGTTATCACCCTCCCCATGACCTAAAACCGCCGCCCCACCTGGTACCCGCCACCCCACCTGTTGCCCCACCCGCCGCCCCACCTGGATAGCCTAAAACCGCCGCCCTACCTGTCACCTGCACCCTGGAAAAGCCCCCAACCGCACTCCACCGCATTCAACCGCACAGTACCGCACTCAATCGCACAGTACCGCATTCAACCGCGCAGAACCGCACTCAACCGCATTCAACCACACTGAACCGCACTCCAACGCTTTAGATCGCACCAGTCAGTACCCCTCCGCACTAGCTGTACGTACTCGACTATGTCTACCTCGCGAATCCTCACGTTTGATCCAGAGGGCCGCCCGGTCGATTTTCCAGGATGGCTTCGCAAACTTAAGCTGTACCTAGGGTCTAGAATCGAGAACGACGTGCGCCTGCTAGAGCACGCAACCGGCAAGCTCGTTGCCCCGAAGGATCCCGACCCCCTAGGTGCTTCCCCGTCGGAGGTGGATGAGGCTCGCTTTGAGAAGGCGCAGTTGGCGGCCATTCGCTGGGCGGCGCGGGACGACGCTACCGTGCTCGCCATCACCGACCTCCTGCCACTGTCTGAGCAGCATCACTTCGAACAGGAGGTGACAGCCAAGAGCCTTTTCGACGCGGTAGTCAAACGGTACTCCACCCCGACCACTGCGTCCCTCGGTCGTCTTGTGCTGCCCTTCCTTTTCCCCGACCTTCCCTCGTTTCCGCGTGTTGCTGACCTCATTCTGCACTTGCGCTCGCTTGATGCCCAGCTCCGCTCTGCTGCCCCTGACCCCGACCTGCTTGCCACCAATCCCCCCGTGATGTGGATTACACTGTACCTCCTTTCCACCCGCCTCCCTGACCGCTTTGCCACTGCTCGTGACCATTTCCTCACTGTTAACCCCATGTCCCTCACTATTGACCTCTTTGCGGAGAGGCTCACTTCTGTTGCGGACCTTGCCCGCTCCCTTGCCGCTGCCTCTAGTACCGTCCTCCCCCCCATCTTTGAGGGGTGTGCTCCTTCGTTCCTTGCCTCTTCTGTCGACTCGGCCTCTGTTGCCACTGCATCCGAGGTTGCAGCTGTTGCCTTTGGCAACAAAGGGGGCAAGAAGAGCGGTAAGAAGGGAGGAGGTGGTGGCAGTGGTGGGGGTGGCGGAGGGGGCAGCGGTGGAGGTGGTGGAGGGGGCGGTGGTGGAGGTGGTGGAGGGGGCGGTGGTGGGGGGGGCGGCGGGAGTGGTGGTGGCGGCGGCGGAGGGGGTGGGAGTGGCAGTGGAGGAGGAGGTAGTGGAGCGTCCCAGCAGCAGCAGCCCCAGCAGCAGCAACACCAGCAGCAGCAGCAGCAGCAGCAGCAGCAGCAGCAGCAGCAGCAGCAGCAGCAGCAGCAGCAGCAGCAGCAGCAGCAGCAGCAGCAGCAGCAGCCACAGCAGCAGCGGCAGCAGCAGCTCCAGGGCCAGCGCCAGCAGACCCAGCAGCAGCTATGGGGGCCGCCTGGACCAGGGAGCTCTGTCAGCAGCAGCGGCCCACCCAGCTGGATGTCGCGTGGCCCGGCCCAGCACCCCCCCTGCCAGTACTGGGTGCAGACTGGGCCGCGCAGAGACCGCATCTGTGGCCGCTTTCACCCTGCGGGTCAGTGCTTTGCGCAGCTTACTGACCGCTACCGCGCCCAGTTTGGCCTCACCCGCTCAGCCCCAGACTGGGCCCCACTGGTCCGCACTGTTGGCACGCAGTTGTATCGCATGTCTGCCACAGAGTTAGACGCAGAGTTAGATATTGCTGTACGATCTGCTTCTGTGATGTATGCTGATGACTCTAGTGTTGATCGTTCCGGCTATTACTCTTGTTTGTCTAGCTTAGGTGCTGTAGAGGTTGCTAGTGCTGTACCTGCTAGAGTAGCTTGCACAGGTCCGACCACCCGGCCAGCGTCCCTTTTGTTCACGCTCGACTCTGGAGCGTCCAGCTGTTTCTTTCGTGACCACACCGACCTCACACCGCTACGCACCCCGGTCACTGTCGCCTTGGCTGACCCCTCAGTGGGAGCAGTGGTTGCCCACAGCACCACTACTCGGGGTGAAGCGTACTCATCTTCGGGGTGGGCGCAAAGGTCTGGAAGAAGTCCACCCCCTCTCGCTGACTGAAGCCTCTCGCCACATAGCGCGCCTTGAACACTGGTGGTGATCCAGGCGGCCGCTTCACCTTGTAGAGCCATCGGCCACTGACGACGTTCATCCCAGGTGGTGGGACTGCGTCGACGTAAGTGCCTGTGGACCTATAAGATGCCATCTCTGCCTCCTCAGCTGCTATCCAGTACGAGGCCCAAGGTCCCGAGACCGCCTCAGCGTGATTGCGAGGGATCGGGATGTCAAGAGCGTCTGGATCCCCCTCAGGGGTAAGCAGCATGGCGCAGAGATGAGGAACAGCGGCCGCAAGGAAACCAAGCTCAAACTGCGTGTCCTCTAGGACCTCCAGGGGAAAGACAGGAGCACCCCCAGAGGACGGAGAACGAGCAGGGCCACTCACCAAGTGAGCGGCGTAGTCAAGGCGGTGGGAAGAGGCAAAGCCAGCGACAGTGGTAACAAGTGCTGAGACAGACGACAGGGGTGCAGTCGGGTGAGTGACCAACGCGGACAAAACACGGGAGACGACAGGACGGGAGGCACGGAGGTAGTCAGACAACGGGTCGTGAAGCATAGTGAAGGACGACTCAGGGGGCTCTGGAAAAACAGGAGGAGGTGGAACACGAGAGCGAAGAACAAGGTGGAACGGACCGTCTGCACGGTAACGGGACCGACGACGCTCTGGGGACACAGCACGACTGAGGGGAGAACGACGAGTCCACTGGGACGAGGAAAGAAACTCAACAGGGGGAACAGGAGGGGACGGTAGGGGACCACGAACAAAGCGTGCAGGTGCTGAGTCGGGGAGGTCGCGTAGTCGCAGTCGCTGCTGCTCCGCCTCCTCTGGCGTCTGCTGCGACGGTACCGGCCCCTGCTGCTGCTCCTGTGGCTCCGCCTCTGCCCTCTCCTGCTGCGACTGCAGCTGCACCCGCTGCTGCGACCGGGACTGCTGCTCTACCCTCTCCTGGTGCGGCCGTGACTGCTCCTCTACTCTCTCCTGCTGGGTCTGTAACTGCACCTGCTGCTGCGGGTGGGACTGCTGCTCTACCCTCTCCTGGTGCGGCCGTGACTGCTCCTCTACTCTCTCCTACTGTGTCTGTAACTGCACCTGCTGCTGCGGGCGAGACTCCTGCTCTACCCTCTCCTAGTGCGGTCGTGACTCCTCCTCTACCCTCTCCTGCTGCGGCTGTGACTCCTCCTCTACTCTCTCCTGCTGCTGCTGCGGCTGCTGCTGCTGCTGCTGCTGCTGCTGTGCCCTCTCAAACCGCTCACGCTCCTCCCTCTCCAGCCTGAGGAGACGCTGCTCACGGGTCAGGAAACGTACAGTGCGCGGTGTAGGCGCCACAGTGCCAGTGCCTCCAGCTCCAGCACCCCCCGAACCAGCACCTCCACCACCGACACCCCCGGGGCCTCCAGTACCTCCCGCAGGAACACCCCCAGGCTCCGCAGCAACCGGCCGCAAAGAAGAACGAGGAGGAAACTGCGGGACGGACGGGAATCCAGGGGGTGAGGCGGGGCGAGGCCGCTGAGTCGAGGCTGCCGTGTCCTCCACAGGAGTGACCTCCACGCCCACAACCCCTGCACCCCCAGAGCCGACACCACCAGCTCCTGCAGCCCCAGTACCCTCACCCTCCGCAACTGCACCTCCCGCACCCCCAGACACGGAAAGGACTGGACGCTGCGGGGGGGAAGACTGCGGAGTGACGTGCGACACACCTGACGGGGCAGGACGCGAAGGGGGAGGGGCTACCGGGGAGACTGGTGGGGGCTCAAGGGTGAGGAACAGCGGGGGGGAAAAGGCCTCAGTACCTCGGTGGGGGCGACTCCTGTAGTAACAGACAGACTCGTCGAACGTGACGTCCTGCGAAGCGAAGAACTGGTAGGTGACCGGGTCGTAGAACACCCAGCCGGAGGCGTCCAAAGGGAAGCCAAGAAAGACGCAGGCACGAGTGCGCGGGGACAACTTGTTCGCGCCAGGGGCGCGAACGTGAGCCAGACAACCCCAGACGCGGAAGTCAGCTGCTACGCCCGGAGAACCTGTCCAAAGGGAGACTGGCGTCACCCTTGGCCGTGCGTCACTGGGCCACAGGTTCAGCTGGTGCGCGGCGTAGCGGACTGCCTGAGGCCACAAGAACTGGGGGGCACCGGCATGGCACATGGAGGTCCGGGCAACCTCCATGACCAGGCCGATGCGTCGCTCGGCTACCCCGTTCTGCTGCGGTGATGCTGGTAGCGTGTAAGACTGTATGATCCCCCGACCCTGACAGAACGTCTCCAGGCGAGTGGAAGAAAACTCACCACCACGGTCCGAGTGTAGGCGAAGCCCACACAGGCCCTGGGCGCCACCCCACGCTAGTAGCCACGGCTCGAGGACGGTAGGCACGTCGGCCTTCCGTCGCAAGGGGAAAACCGTGGTGTAGCGGGAGTAGTCGTCCACCACAATCAGGAAGTAGCGCTCCTGACGTGGGCCAAGGACCGGAGAGGGGCCCCAGACGTCCAAGTGCAGGGTCTCGAAGGGAGCCGTGGTGGGGGGGAACGAGGAGGAGTGAGGGGCAGCGCGCTGCCGACCCTCGACGCAAGGAGTGCACAGCGGCGCAGGCGAGCGGGGAAGCAGTGCAAGCGACTCTGGGAGACCTGAGACCAGACGGTAACGTGCCATCCTACTGAGACGCGGGAACGACGGGTGACCTAGACGGTGGTGCCAGAGGACCGACGGGTGGGTGAGGGACCGACAGTCACACGACACAGCAGCTACCTGACCTGACCTGACCTGACTCGACTCAGTGTGGTGGGACCCAGTGTGTAGTGAGTACAGACCAGATCCCGGCTCTCTGTGGAATGTGGCCAGAGGCGCCCCAGTGGCGCCGACAGTGCAGGAGGCAACAGGCTCGTCCAGTGGGAAAGTAGTGACTACGCCTAGGTCGTGAAGGTGAGTGACACCCACCAGGTTCCTAGAGAACGAGGGGGTGTAGTAACCTGTAAGAAAACCTGAGGGAGCCGCCGGACACGGAAGAGTGGTGGTGCTGCTAGCAACTACACGTCTCACAGAGGGGTCAGCCAAGGTGACAGTGACTGGAGTGCGCAGTGGTGTGAGGTCGGTACAGTCGCGAAAGAAACAGCTGGACGCTCCAGAATCTAGGGTGAAGGAAAGCTGTGCAGTCTGTGGGGTCGCACCCGAACCAGCTACAAAGGCTAGTGCTAGACTAGTGGTAGCTGCAGCTCCTACACAAAGACCCTCAGAGGCGCCGGGACTGGAAACAACACACGCACCAAGACTGGAAACACAGGTCTCTACTCGTGCAGCCGGAAAAGGTCCTAGACCAGGCAGGTGAGACTCAACTGGTGCAGTAGTGCGCTGGCGAAGGCGCGAAGGCCAGTGCGGTGTAATAGCGTGAGGACCAAAACGCTCACGGTGGAGGTCGTCGAGTCGACGGTAGCAGCTGGACGCAGTGTGGTCAGGACTCCAGCAGGTAGTACCAGCACCAGGGCCTGTCAGGGCCCGGTACCCGCAGGGGCCAACGTCTCGCCCACTGCTAGCTGAGCCACTGCTGGGGGCGCCACACTTTGGACCCGCAGGCCCCCACTGACGGGAGTGCTGCGGCTGGCCCTGCTGCTGTAGAACCCTAGTACATGCCATGTGAGCCTATGCTGCTGCTGGTTCTGCTGGGGGCAGCCTAAGCTGCTGCTGGTGCGCTGGGGGCAGCCTGTGCTGCTTCTGGTTCTGCTGAGGGGCAGCCTAGGCTGCTACTGGTTCTCCAGGGGGCAGCCAATGCTGCTGCTAGTGCGCTGGCAGTTGCCTAAGCTGCTGGTGCGCTGGTGGCAGCCTATGCCGCTTCTGGTTCTGCTGGGGGCAGCCTACGCTGCTGCTGGTGCGCTGGGGGCAGCCTATGCTGCTGCTAGTGTGCTGGCGGCAGCCTATGCTGCTGCTGGTTCTGCTGGTTCTGCTGGTTCTGCTGGTTCTGCTGGTTCTGCTGGTTCTGCCGGTTCTGCCGGTTCTGCTGGTTCTGCTGGTTCTGCTGGTTCTGCTGGTTCTGCTGGTTCTGCCGGTTCTGCCGGTTCTGCCGGTTCTGCTGGTTCTGCTGGTTCTGCTGGTTCTGCTGGGGGCAGCCTACGTTGCTGCTGGTGCGCTGGGGGCAGCCTATGCTGCTGCTGGTGTTGCTGGCGGCAGTGTAATCGGCTGGGGCTACTGACGGCGGGTGTGGTAGCTTGTGGGGAGGCAGGTTTCAAGTGGGGAAGTTGTTAAGGCAGCGGGCTACGGGTGAGGCGGCGGTTCTGTGCGGTTCTGTGCGGTTATGTGCAGTACTGTGCGGTTCTGTGAGGTTCAATGCGGTGGAGAGGACTGGGTGGGGCAGCTGACTTCCGGGTGAGGTGCCTGGAACGGGTGGGGCAGCAGGTTTCCAGGTGGGGCGGCGGTTGTCAGGTCTGGGGCGGCGGTTTTCAGGTCTGGGGCGGCGGGTTTCCAAGTTCGGCGGCGGTTTTCAGGTCTGTAATGGCGGGTTTTCAGGTCTGGGGGGCGGTTAAGACGGTGGGCTGCACGTGCGCGCGGCTGCGACGTACTAGCGCGAAGCTGCGGGTGCGACTAAGGCTGCGCGCGCAGCTACGCGCGTTCGTCTGCTGCGCGCTAGAGGGCTGGGGGGAAACGCGCGGGGTAAAACGAGTGGGGCGCGGGGCAGAAAACGAGTGACGCACGGCAAAAACGGGTGGGGCGCAGGGCAGAAACGGGTGACGCGCGATGTCGACGGGGGGCGCGACCTACTCGGGCTCTACGGGGCAGGGCGCTTCGGGCTATGGGTCGCTACGAGGCGCGCGGGTGGTGGGCCCATAGACTATCGAGAGAAATTTCGCCTAAGGGAAAAATCGCCTAGGGGAAAAATCGCCTAAGGGAAACCTAGCTCTATACCATGTTACGATAAGAATGAATTAGAAATGTGAAGTACAACCCTAGATATAGCAAACCCTAATCATGCAAGGAAGTAGAAATGTAACACCTAGACTAACCTAAACAACACATATAAAATATATGTTGACACGCATCGCCAAGCCAATTGCCAGGACATTGACCACCTTGCGGCAGGATGCGAAACGCGCCGCGGAGGAGCTCGCGTTCAAGTCTAGGTGCGGGATTGCGGACGGTCACGGGGGTGACGCTCACGGCAATGAACGTGTGAGGTCGCACGAACAGCCCGCAGGATCACATGTTTCAGGTCGCAACACACTCGCTCTCACTACTGCTCTGGCGCTCGCGAACGCGGGGGAGGGGGCTGAAGTGACCGCGGAACAGGCGAAGCCGGACAACAAGGGGGAGAGCTCGAGCTCTGACCGCGGCGAGGATGCCCTTGTGAACGCGCCTCAGGGTGGAAGTGACAAGGATGCACCGGGCGAGGCAGATGGCCAGGTTCGCGGGCAGGCCGAACGGGATGCCGCGGAGCATGATGATGTCGCGATGGATAACCGGGGCGGTGAGTTGGAGCTGGAGGGTTCGGAACAAATGGAGGATGAAGAGGACAAGGATGAGGAGGAGGAGGAGAAGGAGAAGGAGGAGGAGGAGGAGGAGGAGGAGGAGGAGGAGGAGGAGGAGGAGGAGGAGGAGGAGGAGGAGGAAGAGGAGGAGGAGGTGGAGGAAGAGGTGGAGGAAATCTCGGTGAACACTGCGGGGCGGGCGGCGGTCGCGGGTGCAGGGAAGAATATTTGCGGTCTGCATGCTGTGCAGTCACCCCGTACAGGGAGCGCGACCCCGTCATGCGAGTTTGCGGGCAAGAGTCCGGTCGCGGGGAAGCGGAAACACGCGGAGCTGGTGAAGATGCATCCTGCTAAGCTGGCTGCGGAAATCCTCCGCTTGGACGAGGTGGCAAGGAATCAGAAGTGGCGAATCACCAAGCTGGAGGAAGTCGCGTCCGCAAAGCCTGGTACAGAACACGCGGTGGTGATCACGCAGAGCTACGACGATCTTGCGGCCACGGTGGAGAAGGTGCTGGTTCACGTGAAGAACTCGGAACGGGTGATACTCAGGGAAGCCAAGCTGGCCGCGAAGGACAAGGCGGAGAATCGCGACATGCGGGAGGTGCTGACACGCGCTGCTGCTCGCTTTGAGGATAACGCGGGTAACCTGAAGGGGGTGGTTGTGGACTCCATGGAAAACGCGCAAAAGAAGTTGATGGACGAGGTCGCCAGGAAGATCGACGGCGCGTCATCCAACATTGCGTCCACCTCCGAGTGCGCGATTCTGACAAGCGGCGTCACCAACGCTCTCAACACCGTCATCGCCATGCTTTCCGGTCGTGCGGCTCCGCCGCTGGGCACAGCTGCACCGCAGGGGTAGGGGTCAGAAGGTGTCGCGGAGAAAGAGGGAGGGAAGAGGGTCGTGGAGAAAGTAACAGGGAAGAAGGTCGCGGACAAGGAGAAAGAAACGGGGAATAAGGTCGCGGACAAGGAGACAGCAAGGAAGGTCGCGGACAAGGAGACAGGTAAGAGGGTCGTGGACAAGGAGACTGGGAAGGGTGAGAGCAGCAGGGGAGGGAAGCTGCAGAAAGGTGTCGCAATCCCTAGCGTCACTGATATCCTGAAGAGCAAGGGGGGCGCGGTCGTTGAGCGTGCAGGGCTGTTCCCGAGGGGAACCACCAGGGGGGATGCTGATGCGGGACCAACGCCCGGACCCTCGGCCGTGGAAGTTGGTAAGGGCAAGGCTAAGGTCGAGGACGACCGCCGGCAACCGCCACCACCACCACCACCGCGCTAGTGCCCGCGGCAGGCAACACCACTGCGGTCGCGCCTGGGCAGCCTGGACCCAACTCCATCGCCCCTGCAATCCCCTCCTCTGCAGATGTCAAGGCAAAGAATCAGGGCCGCGGTGGTTGTAAGCCGCCTCCAGCCGCGTTGAAAGTGGACCACGACAACAACAACGACTCGGACGTGGACGATGAGGTTGAGCTGGTGCTTCAGAGGTTCGTGGGGCCGAGCGACACCAGCGGCACTAGCGGCAAGCGCAAGGGCTGTGGTATCTGCCCTCCGCCCAGGGGTGGAGAGGGGATGGTGGGCGAACTGTGGCTGGGGGAAGACGTCGCTGGCTGGGACATCACTCCCACCAAGAGGTGCAGTACCTGACTGCGATCGCGGTCATGTGTTACGACAAGAAGATAGACCCCGGGCTCAAGCTAACTGCGCAGCAGAAAAGCGAGTGGGCCGAAGACATCTCCGCGGCCGGGACAATGTGCACCGGGCTATTCGCCACCATGCATCTCCGTAACCTGTGCGGCAACGTTGGCAGGTACGTTCGTCGTCCATCACCTGTCCCCCCCCCCCCCCCTTAGTTGACATGTTCGCGATCATCTACGAGTCTAACCATGGCGCGTTTTATCCCGTTCATGCAGGTACCACCACATGTTCAAAGCCTACCGCGACCTCACCCGCCCCAACTCCTCCCTCGGCAACGCGGTCGCTTGGGCAGCTACGGTGGGGAAGGAGGCGGCAGATGAGGAGCCCGATGTCACCGGCGCTCAGGAGGGCCTTTTTGCCGGTGCGGTCGCGTGCGCGATCGCGATGGTGTGGGAGACCTGCAACGGTCGCGATCTCGACGGAATGCTGGATGCTGGATTTGTGGCTGCGCAGTTTGCAGGCACCCCAGAATGAACCGCCCGCGGTTACCCCTCCATCGTGACCGCGGTCTTCAAGAGGGCCAGGAAGGAGAGTGCCCGCACGAGCACCACCGAGGTCACGCCGAAGCAGGTCGCGGAGAAGATAGAGTCGGCGGTCGTGAACCGCCTTGGAGCGCGACTTGGGGACCCCACCCTGGTTGCTATGGTCGCGCACGAGGCGGTGGACGTGCTGATGACTTGGAGCGACTGCAAGATCGCGGCCAGGATGATGGAGGCCAACGGGCTCTATCTCGCGTTGCCTGAGAAGCGACTGTCCGCGAAGAAAAGGTCCGCGTGAATGTGTGTTCCTCATGCTGGAGGTAGTGTCGCGGTTGGTTGCACATGGTGTTATTAGAATCTCTGCTTGGGAGACTTGTTAGTATAGGTAGCTTGTCCACCATGCTTGAGATTTTCTCGCGGTGGACGATCTGCCTGTGCTGTTTACTCCCCTCGTTGTCATACAACTCTGTTCTTTCATCTGTCTTTTGTGTTCAACGCGACCATATGAGTCGCGTAATTCTCAGCATGCATCGAACTCGAACAGCAATCCGGGAGCCCATTCATAATTATGAACGCGAAACATAGCACCCATACGCGAACTCTATATAGTAGTGTATCAAACATCAGTGAACTGGGGACGCGAACAGAATTATCAATCCACAATTAGGGTCCCTTCCTGGGACACTGACGTGAATCCGTGTTGTGTCGCGTGGCTTGAAACATCTTATTACATCGCGACCGCGATACTTATGCAGTGTAGATTACTCCCGATCGTGTTCGAGAGTCATTGGTGTTTGACCGAACAATAATAAAACAACATCGTTACTGAACACCAAGTATCGGGTAGTGCAAAACAGAAACTATCGCGGTCTATACAGTGTACCTATAACATGGCACCCATACACGGTACACTCAACGCGAACAACATCGGGGTCAATCCATTTATTGCAAGGCTGGCATCAGTGCACAGTACTGTGGCCACGCGAGCGTGAACTCAGACGCGGGAAGGGAGGCATCGATGAAACGGTCGTGAACAAGCATCCATTTCACACGCAACTGCACCTCCGCCGAGGACCCCTTCTTGAGCTGGCTCAGGTTCAGATCCACACTGTTCTTCTTCACCGCGGTTCCTTACGACAGTCCCGACATGCCCACCGCTCCTGCCACGAGGTCGAGCTTGTGCAGCACTACCGCGATGTCGTCTCCTTGCTCCACCCTGTGGGCGATGAAGTCCATCACTCGCTTGACACGGTTTATCGCGTTCTGGCCACCTCCTTCCTTTCCAATGAGATAGGCCAAACGCGTTCCTGCATCGCGGTTCATCATAAGCGATTATGGACTCTCCAGGATCAGCGGATGCGTGGTCTTGTACGGCTTCCAACCGTCAGACGGTTTGGCCGCTTGGACCCATGGGAGCACGATCGCGTCCCGAATCGTCTCGTCCCTGGTCAGTGGTGCGGGCTTCTTTCGCGTTCCCTGGTCGGCAGGTGTTGTGGCATTGGTGGGCACGGCCGCTGCTCCAAAATTGATTGCTAGACTCGGACTCGGATCTGCGGTTGGCCCTGAGCTGACAAGCCTGTTCCAATCCGCGATCGGGACCTCGTTGACCGTCCGCGTTCCCCGCACCCGTTCCATGTCTTCTGCTTCCTCCTCATTGAGCGCGGACAACGAGTTAGCTAGGTAGTTTTCGTCATCGTCATTCTACCCGTCGCCGCTATCGACGTCATCATCATCGTCGTCGTCGTCGCTCGGCCCCTCACCCCCCTCCCCGGCCCCGTTGCTCTCGGTGTCCGGCACTACATCGACTCTCCGCCTCCTAATATGCGGCCTATTAACTGGCTGGTTCGCGGTACCGCCGTTCACGTTACTACCGTTCCTTCTCGCGCCGGTTCCAGATCCACCAGGCGCTCTCCCCCCGTTCGCACTACCCCCGGCCCCTCTCCCACTGGCCCCTCTTCCCGCGTTCCCTCTCCCACCGTGTCCTCTCGCACCTCTCCCTCTCTGCGCGTTCCCACCCCCCGCGTTCCCTCTCCCAGCGGTCCCTCTCGCCGCGTTCGCTCTCGCACCAGCCCCTCTCCCCGCGTTCATTGCGTTTGACTGTGGTTGCCTACCTCTACCGGTGGCGTTCGCTGTAGTTGGTTGCGCGGGGGTGCTTATGTAGACGCCCGGGTTCCCTGGCAATAGTGAGTTCACGTTGTGCACGCGCGATTGCATTCATCCTCGCTCCACCAGTCACCGCACGTCCTAAATCCTCCGCACCCGCGATCGATGACGGGCCGACTGGTCATGCGTGTGTGTCCACACCGACCTCCGATGGTCCTCTAAGGTCTGGCAGGGCTTGCACCGTTGGTGGGATTTCCGTATGAATCGCGTTAGGAAACGGGGTCGCGGGAGCGACCAGAGGCGTCGCGACATTTGCGGGTGCGTGCACCACGAGGTCTGGCTGAATCCGTAATTCGCGTACCCGTACCTGAATCCGTAATTCGCGTATTGCGGCCCGACGTAGCCCCGAACAGGCATCCCAAAGAGCTGGCTTGTGGGCCCGGACGCGGACGTGATGTGTCCGTCAATCTGTGTTCCGGGATGAGGCGTGAATACTCCGTGCGTGTTCTGGTCATCCTGTTGGGTCTGAAACGCAAACGAGGTGAATCCCGTTGATCAGTTGCTGTGGGTGGAACGCGGGCATTCCCGACCCAAAAACTACAGGCTGCACGTAGGGGGTGTTTGTCAAAGCTATATTTAAGATATATCTTGCTTGTTGTAGTTACTATAGTTATTGTTCTTTGCTGTTGGTGGTGCACCTCTTGTTTGTGTTTCTCGACTATATCTTGTATGCTTTGCTATAGTGAAGCTAACTTGTTTGGTCAATTTCTCTCGACACTCCCTTGGCTTTGACCTCGACAATAGCTTGGCCTAGGCTACTAAGCCTAGGCCCTCCTTAAACCCGGTTACCAGCTACGATAGTATTTTGACATGGTATTGAGCTAGGTCGTTCCCGACCTATTTTTTGAAAGGGCCCACCGTTAGTTATCGTGATGGCGCGTCCCGTCCTTCCCAGTCGCTCGCCCGTAGCAAAATCCGTCACGGTAGTCGTAACAGACGCGACGGTCGCGGCGGGAGTGATGGCGTTCGTCGACCCGCTGTTTCGCGCTGCTGCTCTTACCCCCCGTCGGCCCCTCGAACCGCTGATGCCTTCCCCGTCGCCCTTCCCCGTCACGCTGCCTCGTCGCGGCTCACTGTCGCGGAAACGTCGACGGTCGCAGTGGGGGGGGGGGAGGAGCGGGGGAAAAGGGTGGCGACCGTCACTTGAGCACCACAGCCAGCCCGCATTCCGTCCCGTCCCGTTCCGTCCCCGCCTGCCCTCCCGTCGACTTCGCAGCTGCTGTGAAGGGAGTGGCGGGAATGGCGGGCGTGGCGGGAGTGGCGGGAGTGGAGGGAATGGCGGGCGTGGCGGGAGTGGCGGGAGAAGCTGCTGCTCTGCCACTGCATGCTACAGATCGTCCACGACCCGCAAGCCCGCCAGTAAATGAACCAGCAGACCCGCAGACCCACTAGCAAGTGAACCAGCGGACCCGCGAGCCCGCGAGCAAGCCCGTCAAGAGCGAGCACCAGGCACCAGCACCAGCGCCAGCACCAGGAACCAGTACCAGCACCAGCGCCAGCACCAGGAACCAGTACCAGCACCAGCGCCAGCACCAGGAACCAGTACCAGCACCAGCGCCAGCACCAGGAACCAGTACCAGCACCAGCGCCAGCACCAGGAACCAGTACCAGCACCAGCGCCAGCACCGGGAACCAGTACCAGCACCAGCCGCCAGCACCAGGCACCAGTACCAGCACCAGCCGCCAGCACCAGGCACCAGTACCAGCGCCAGCCACCAGGCCCCGGCACCAGGCACCAGCACCAGGGCCAGCCGTCAGCACCAGCACCAGCTCCAGGGCCAGCCGCCAGCACCAGCACCAGCTCCAGGGCCAGCCGCCAGCACCAGCACCAGCACCAGGGCCAGCCGCCAGCACCAGCACCAGCTCCAGGGCCAGCCGCCAGCACCAGCACCAGCTCCAGGGCCAGCCGCCAGCACCAGCACCAGCTTCAGGGCCAGCCGCCAGCACCAGCACCAGCTCCAGGGCCAGCAGCCAGCACCAGCACCAGCTCCAGGGCCAGCCGCCAGCACCAGCACCAGCTCCAGGGCCAGCCGCCAGCACCAGCACCAGCACCAGGGCCAGCCGCCAGCACCAGCACCAGCACGAGGGCCAGCCGCCAGCACCAGCACCAGCTCCAGGGCCAGCCGCCAGCACCAGCACCAGCTCCAGGGCCAGCCGCCAGCAGAGAACCCCGCCAGCAGAGAACCCCGCCAGCAGAGCACCACCCTCTGCCCTGCCTCTCCCCTCCCGCGGCTGCTACTGTGGGGGGTAGGTGGCGGGAGCGGGGGGGTGGGAGGGCTGGCTGCAGTGTGAAGGACAGGGCAGAGACAACTGTGGGTTGGGCAGGGGTGTGGAGGAAGGGAGGGAGGGGGTGCGGTTCCAGGGGGTGGCTGAAATGGGGGGTGAGGTTGAAGGAGGGTGGTTGATTGGGGGTGGGGATGTGGGGGTTAGTAAGAGGGGACGCTGCGGCCACCCTCCCACCTCCTCTCCTCATCCCCCACTCAACCCCCCTTTCGTAAAAGGGGGTTATTAAGAGGGGACGCCGCGGCCACCCCCCCACCTCCTCTCCTCATCCCTCACTCACCTCCTCCTGTGTTCTCATCTCCTCTCCTCTCCTCTCTCCCTCTCGCCGCCTCCCCTCACGTACCCCTCTGCCGTTTCCCACTGCACCAGCTATACCCCTTCAGGGGTGTTGACTACTCTAGTTCCTACTGCAAGCAGGCTAAGGGGGTGTGTCAAAGTTATATTTAAGATATATCTTGCTTGCTGTAGTTACTATAGTTATTGTTCTTTGCTGTTGGTGGTGCACCTCTTGTTTGTGTTTCTCGACTATATCTTGTATGCTTTGCTTTAGTGAAGCTAACTTGTTTGGTCAATTTCTCTCGACACTCCCTTGGCTTTGACCTCGACAATAGCTTGGCCTAGGCTACTAAGCCTAGGCCCTCCTTAAACCCGGTTACCAGCTACGATAGTACTTTGACAGTGTTCCAGGTGGGATTGAGCGCAGGCATGCTTGGCACTGGAGTGCTAGCTTCTTCCGCATTGTGGATTTGGGGCGCGGGCGTGTTGCCTGAGGCTTTAAGGGAGTCGTGAAGTATTGGCGTCGCGACGCGATTAACGGTATGCATGCACCGTACAAGACTGCCCCTACTCCTA